CTCCAAGGCTTCTCCATCCCTCCTGTGTTCTCTTTGGGATGCACTGTGCTCTATCCCAAGGTGAGGATGGAGCCACTGGGTTGTGTTGGGTCACAGCGGTGTCACACCGGCGATGGGGATCACCATCCCAGCCACTCTCGGATCAGCTTTGGGATGCTGTGGGTCCGGAGAGAGCAGCCGTGCTCTGGCGATTCAGGCAGTGAATGCCTGAATCCTCCCTGCCCTTCCTTCCTGTGCCCACCAAACCCTGTGGCAGCCGTGGATGAGGCCATGAGCAGGAGTATCATCGGACACAGTGCACGGACTGCAGCGGGAAACCTGGATCTGGGCATGACCGAGCGAGGAAATCGGAGCAGAAAGGAGCTGCTGTCGCACGCTGAGTCACCTGCTCCACCCGGCGCTGCCTGGGCCGGGTTATTTTGGAGCTGCGTGGGCAGATGCTGATAACACACTTTTTGCTTCCCTGCAAACTCCTCGGTGCTGACTCCGCGCTGCGGCGGGGAGTTAAAAGCGGGGACATGTGATGGGGCTGGCACTGGAGTCTTCCTGACTGCAAAAGTCCCCAGGGCCCTCACACCCTCCGCTCGCAAAACAGGCGGCAAAGGATGGACATGTCCCGATTTCAATCTTTTTCCTGGTTTGTTTGTTTGTTTTTTAATCTTCTTTTGAAAGGCTGGAAAACATCCCCTGCTGCCTGATATTTTGTCCTGCAAAATGCCCTGTGTCTCTTGTGTCCTGCTCCTGGACACTTCCATGGGGTTACAGGAGCCTCGTGTCCCAGGAGAGCCCCCAGGGGACCAGGCAGGGCGCTGGGTCCAGGACAAAGAGCATTGTCCCTGCTGCAGAGGTTAATCATTGCTACACAAAAGGTCTTTTAAGCTTTCCTAATAAAATTCCTTCTTCTGCTGGATGAACCAGGCTCCGGCCTCTGTCCCACCTCCGCAGGGTCCTTGGGGGAGACAGAGGAAGGGGCAGGTTTTCGCTTTAGCTTCTGATAATGTAAAAACCACGCTTAGAAAACACCAGAAAACGAGCTGGGGCAGGAAAAGAGGGACAAAGTCCCAACACGGACCGTATGTGTGCTCTCATCCACTTCCTTCCTTCATTTACCTGTGCCCAACCCCCAAACTGCTTGAAACAAGGCGCTTCAAGCGTTGCCATCCCTGTGCTTTGGATGCAATTAAAGCAGGTTAACGGGATAAATCCAGCTAATAGAGCTGAGCAAGTGCCACGTCCACTCCTGATGGCCATGAGACATGGGAACATGGCTGAGCCCCGATGATACTCCACCACTCTCCCTCGCTTCCTGGGCCATGGGGCTCAGCAAACCCCCTTGGGGCAGCATCCCACAGGAAAACACCCCCGGAGCGAGATCTGACTCTCTGAGCCCCTCTCTTAGGGCCGCTCTTTGTTTTCCCTGGTGCTGCTGCTTCTTTTTAAATACAGCCTAATACAATTTTAATGAGGCCGGGGCGCCTGCCAACTGTCGGGAGAGCCCTCGGAGAACCTCTGCTGAGCTGCCTGTGGCATATGGCAGTGAGGCCAGGGCAGCCAGGCACCCCAGGGTGTCCCCATGGCCCCCAGCAGCAGCAAGGGACACATCAAGGACCTGGGGAGATGCAGCCTCCAGCTGGGGTGTTGGGTCTGTACCCAGGGCTTGTTCCCAGCCCTGATCCAGTGGTCCCCAGTCGCTAGGCTGTTTTGGCAAAGCCCTTTATCCCACTGTAGGACAGCTGGATGGCTGCACAAGGTGACCTCATCCTGCACAAGGGCTCCTGTTGTCACCATGCCCTGTCCCATGCAGGGACGGGGGGTAGCTGGAGAGATGTTGACCATGAGCAATGCACCCCCAATCTCTGCCGAGCCCCTCTGTGGGGTGAGGGGGTATCTGCACTTGGGGGGGGGGTGTTCCCAGGCCAGTTTTGGCCATCTCACAGACACCATGGGGGACATGGACACCCCTGCGACATCTGTCCTCATGTGCCATGGACACCGAGATGGGATTTGCAGCATGTGGGGGTCCTGGGGGAAGCAGGTGGCTGGGGGTGAAAACCTGCCAGCAGCCCCCTCGCAGTGAGCCCCCAAAATTGCTCCATGGACAAGGAGGGCTCAGGCCAGGCTGGTGGCTGAGATGTGCCTTGAAGCCAGAGGAGAGCCGTGCTCTGAGGGGTGACCCAGTGGCACTGGCTTTGGGCACCCCCTGACACAGCGTGCCCTGCATTCCACCCTCCCTGCAGTGCCCAGCTCTGCCTTCCATCCCAATTCCATGAGCTTGACTGAAAACCCCGGGACTGCCTGCAAATGAAGTTGGGCTGCCACAAAAAGTGTCCAGGCAAGCATGAAAATCTGAGGGCGTTTCTGTGCCCGCAGCAGGCAAGACAGGGTTCACTCCATGACCGGGGCTCCTTTTCTCTTGGCTTTTCCCTTTTGGAGCTGTGATCTGTTTGAAGTCCCAGCGGATGAGTCACGCACCCCTCCAAGGGGACACGGCCACGCTCCGGAAAGCCCTTGTCATGGATGCCGTGTGCCAGGGATTGGGTCTCCTGCAGGAGCAGCAGTGGGAAGGCTGTGGGGGATGACCTCAGAAGCGTTTAGTCACGGCAGCTTGCAAAGACGACAGGAAATGCAATATATAGAGGGAAACCCAGTGCCTTTCCTACAGCTCCAGCACACTGGCACGCACGGATGCACTTGGGAGACAGGCTTTGGCTGCTGCACCCCCAAGTCAGGGGGGCTCTGGTCACCCTTTGCTACCACAGTGACGTGTGGGGAGGTCTCAGACAGTGTTTGGGGCTCCCCTACCTCCCCCAGAGCAGAGGGTGCAGGCAGGGTGGGTGCAGGCAGGGTGGGTGCAGGCTGGCTGCTTGCTCTGGAGGGGGAGGATCTACTGAGCCAGGCAGTGCCACCATCCACCAGTGCCACCATCCACCAGTGTCACCCACCCATGCCACACTGGGTGAATACAGGATGGGGTTTTTTTCCCCCTGCATAATTGCTACTTTTTTTTGTTGAGCAGAAAAGCTGTTTCTTTCCCGGCCTCGCCACCATCTGCCTGCGGCGGCTGTGGAAGGCAGAGCCCAGCAGCTGTGGGCCTGGGCAGCTGCTCGGCCTCATGGCCAGGTCCTGATGCAGGGGGGCTTTGAGCCAGAGCAGAAAACAGGGTTTGTGGGACAAACATGGATCTGCCTCAGTGGAGCTGGCGAGGGGACCTATTTCTAACCCAGACAAGAGTCTATGTGGTTGGCTCCAGTTGGAAATGGTCTGTCTGGATTTGCAGGGCTGGGCAGCAAGGATGAGCACAGAGCAGGTCTGGCTGAGGCATCCAGGAAAACAAATGCCATCCCAGCCTGGCAGGTTTGCCCTGGAGCGGTTGTGCCAGGGACCCCCAGGCAGGGGCGGGTGGATGTGGTGCTGCCCGGGGGTGGAGCAGTGGCTGTAACCAGTACGGCCAGTGCAGAACCAGTGGAGCCTGAAGGGCCTCGGGAGGTGGGGACAGGATGCCATCCTGCCTGGGTTGGATGAGCCCGGGGGAATTCTTTGTGCCAGCCCTGAGCACACACTGTTGCACCCTCTCCCCCACACCCACGCTCGGCTCTTCTCTTGTCCTGCTTCAGCTGGGACAGGCAGTTCAGCTCCCTGATCCAGCTGAATACCATCCCATCTGTGCCTCCCATCATCCCTCTTTCTCCAATTTTCTGGTTCTGCACATTCCCCCCAGCCAGACCCCCTGCAAGCGTGGAGCTGTGCTTGAGCCAGCTTCAAATCAGCCACAGCAGCCCCGCTCCTACTTACTGGTGTTTGTGTCCACATTGTAGTCACGAGAAGTGTCCCTGTCCCCAAGGAGCAGCGGGCAGCACCCCTGGGCAGCACAAGTGGCTCTCTCCAGGATGGACCCTTTCCATCTCGGGGTCAGTCCTGCTGTATGTGCCATGTCCTTGCATGCATGCCAACACTGCCCACCTACCCCCTGAGAAATGGCCCCAAAGTACCCCCTTGTGCAGGAGTGTCCCTGTCTTTCTTACGGATTTGGTGTGGGAATTCAGTTCCACAGGGCCTGGATGCTCCAGCCTCGCTGGTGCCTGGCACAGGGTGCTGGGATGGCTCAGAGATGGCAGGAGGCCACGGCATCTGTCACCCTTCTCCACATCTGTCCCACAGCCCTGTGTCATGGCCAACAGCCCAGGAGGGACAGAGGGGTGCAGGGGGTCCAGCAGTGTCTTGGAGAAGGATGGGTTTGGGCAATCAGAGGGATACTTGCAGTTCAAGGTGGTGTCTTGCAGTGCAAGGGGTGGTCTCGTAATGGGGGAGGGTGGATTCTGCGGTGCATAAGGGGGTCTTGCAATGTGGGGAGGTCCTGCAATTCAAGGGAGATCTTCCTATGCAAGGACGGGTCTTGTTATGCAGTGGGGAGGTCTTGCAACTCAAGGGGGCTCTCGCTGTTCCTGGAGGGGTCTTGCCATGCGGTGGGGACTTGTGTTGGAAGGGGTGTCCTGCAGTTCGAGGAGGCTCCTGAAATGCATGGAGGGATCTTGTTACACAGTGAAGGTCCTGCAATGTGGGGGGATCCTGCAATTCATGGGGGCTTTTGTAATGCAGGGAGGGGTCTTGCTATGCAGTGGGCATCCTTCAATGGGGGGGTGGTCCTGAAATCCAGAAGGACTCTTGCCATGCAGAGGGGACTTGCATTGTGCGTGGGGGTCTTGCAGGGAGGGGTCTTGCCACGCAGTGGGGGTCTTGCAATGGCCGGGGGGAGTTTCTGCAATTCAGGGGGCTTTTGCAATGCGGGGGAGGGTCTCTCCATGCAGTGGAGTCCCGCGATGGAGCGGGGGATGATGTCCTGCGATTCGAGGGGGCTCTCGCCGCTCACGGCGGGGTCCTGCCCTGCGGCGGGGCCCCGCAGCGATGCGGGGGGCGGGCGGGGGGGCTCGGGGGGGGCGGTACCGTGGCGGCCGCGCTATAAAGGCGGCGGCGTCGGGGCAGGCGCGGCAGCGGCAGCTCTCGGTGTCGGTCGGTCGGTCCGTGTCGGTCGGTCGGCGGCGGGGCAGGATGACGGCGAACGGGACGGCGGAGCCGGTGCAGATCCAGTTCGGGCTGATCAACTGCAGCAATCGGTACCTGACGGCGGAGGCGTTCGGATTCAAGGTGAACGCCTCGGCCGCCAGCATGAAGAAGAAGCAGATCTGGACGCTGGAGCAGGACGGGGAGGACTCCAGCGCCGTCCTGCTCAAGAGCCACCTGGGCCGGTACCTGGCGGCCGACAAGGACGGGCGGGTGAGCTGCGACAGCGAGGAGCCGGGCCCCGACTGCCGGTTCCTGGTGCTGGCCCACGGCGACGGGCGGTGGTCGCTGCAGTCCGAGCCCCACCGCCGCTTCTTCGGCGGCACCGAGGATCGCCTCTCCTGCTTCGCCCCCGCCGTCTCGGCCGCCGAGAAGTGGAGCGTCCATCTGGCCATGCACCCCCAGGCCAACCTCTACAGCCTGGCCCGCAAGCGCTACGCGCACCTGGGGCCCCGCCGCGACGAGTTGGCCGTGGACCGCGACGTGCCCTGGGGCGTGGATGCTCTGATCACCCTCCTGTTCGTGGACCAGCGGTACAGCCTGCAGAGCTGCGACCACCGCCTGCTCCGCAGCGACGGCCGCCTGGTCCCCGCCGCCGAGCCCGGCACCGCCTTCACGCTGGAGTTCCGCTGCGGGAAGGTGGCCTTTCGCGACGGGGAGGGCCGCTACCTGGCCCCCTCGGGGCCCAGCGGCACCCTCAAGGCGGGCAAGAGCGCCAAGGTGGGCAAGGACGAGCTCTTCGCCCTCGAACAGAGCTGCCCGCAGGTCGTGCTGCGAGCCGGCAACGATAGGAATGTCTCCACCCGGCAAGGTACGAGGGGACGGACGGGCGCTGGGGGTGGGGGGAACGGGACACGTCGGCCGTCCCGGAGTCCCTGGGGTGTCGCCGTGCGCCCCTGCATCTTTCGGGTATCGGCTTCCTCGGGCATCGCCCGCCCCCAGCAGCCCGCTGCATCCCTCAGACATCGGCATCCGTCGGGCATCTCCTGCCCCGAGCATCCCCTTCATCCCCCCGGCATCACCTCCCCTGCATCACCTCAGAATCGCCACCTCGGAGTGCGCCCCCCCCGCAGCACTGCCCTCCTGGCAGCCCCCCGCGTCCCCCAGCATCCCCTGCCTTCCTGCAGCAGCCACCCCACAGAATGCCCCTTTGCATCTCTCCGCCATCTCCTTAGGATCATCCCCCGCTCAGACCCCTTCTCACACCCCTCCCCTGAAGCCCCCACCTCCCCTGGGCACCCCCCTGCACCCCTCAGCATGGCTGCCCGCCGTCCCTCCCCAGTCCCCCATCATGATCCCCCCGCACCCCTCCCATATCCCTTCCCTTCCCCCTCCTGCATCCCTCCAGCATCGCCTGCCTGGGGGCCCCATCCCTCCCGCACCCCCATCCCTGCAGCATCTCCTCCGCAGGGTGCCCTGGGGGGGAGGGATGGCGAGGGGCCTGCCTTGGGGCGCAGGGATGGACAGGGAGGGGGGCTGGGAGGGGTGGATGGGGTCTTCCCTCGCCATGAAGGAGGCAGGGCTGTATCCATCGCCTTCCTTCCTGTGGAGCTCATTGTTCGCCCAACAAAGCCTCCGCCAACCTCCCCCTTCCCCGAGCATCGCTGAGCCATGTGCGCTGCCGAGCTGGGGGGCTGCAGGTCCTCGGTGGGGCTGCGGGTCCCCGCAAGGGCCTGGAGTTTCCCCCGGGTGTGGGGGGCTGGGATGGCAGCGTTACATAAAGGGCTTTGACAAAACTCCCGCATCCTGCATCCACCCGCACAAAGGCAGCCGTTCCCCCCCGCTCCCGCTGCACCGCCCGTCCCCGTCCCCTCCGCTCGCCCGAGAGGCCACCGGGCCACCCGCCTCGAGTGGTGCCACACGGCAAAGCTCCCCGGGCACGTGGCCACCTGCCCACCGAGCATCACACACCCCCAGGGGTCCGTGCCGGGGGACGGGGGTCCCTCCCCGCGCTGCCGGGGGGTGCAGGGCTGTGGGACCCCCGGGGCACATCCCCAGCGCGCCAGGTCAGGCCGGCGCACGCCGGGCGCGGGATGGGTGCGAGCATGTCTCGCTGCAGCAAAGCCCGGAGGAACAGCGGGGGATTTTTTTTTTCTTCTGTGTATATGTAATAATTCAGGGTTGCAGCTTAACCCTGTTCCGTGCCTGGGCAGCTCTGTGCAGGAGCTCCCTGCCTTTCTCCTGTTCGAGGGCAAGTCCCGCGCTGCAAAGCAGCCCCTTAAAAATAAGTGATGAAATCTGCCAAGACGGGCAGTGTGGATTGTTTTCCCAGGCACAGGGATTTGGGGAAGAGGAGGAGGATGGCGATGGCGGGAGGATGGCGGGAGGCTGCCGCAGCGCTGTGGGGGAAGGGCGGCTCCAACCCTTTGTCACCAGAGATGGGGAAACCAGATGTGGGGGGAGATGTGAGGGACGGGGAGGCGGTGGTGGGGGACCCCGTGGTGGTGGGGGACCCCATGGAGCGGGTGGGAATGCTGCTGGCCGACCCGCTGGCTTTGTGTGGTTTGGAAGGGACGGGGGGAGCAGGAAGGCGGGGGGGTGGGGGTGCACAAATCTCCCCAGCAACAGGGGGCTCTGGGCTGTGCCCGGCCCCTTTCCAAGCAAAATACAGAGGGAAGGGCTGCGCTGGGGCTGCACATCCTCGCTCGAGTCCGTTTTGGCCAGGGAAAACGTTTCCACCCGGTTTATCCTTCCCGATGGCAGCAAAGGGCTGGGAGCTGCCGCTTTCTGGGGCTCGCCCTCCCTCCTCCCGTTGGGAAAGTGCCTTGTCCCAAGGTTACCAAGAAGGCAGCCCCAAAGCAGCCGTCGGAGGAAGCGGTTCCAGACAGCCCTTTCCCCCGCCGAGCTGATAAGCGCCGTGCTGTTGGCAGATGCGCCCATGGCCACCGGGGATGGGGGAGGTGGGATGTGGGAAGGGAACGACTGCAGCTCGGCACAGCCTCGTGGGAAAAGGCTTCTTGTTCCTGCGTGGAGTCAGGGAGGGAGGGGGGACGGCAGTGCCCCCCCCCGCCCCTTCCCGCGCCTCATGGGAGGAGCAGGGATGGAGCCATGGGGCTTCTGTGGCTCCCTTGGCTGGGATCTAGCTTTGGGACAGTGTTGTCCCACCAGTGCCAAGTCAGCACCTGGCTTGGAGTCTCCTCCCTGTCCTGGGGATGGCTGGTGTCACCATCCCCTGCACACTGGGCACTGGGGGCCGCAACACAAACAATCCCGGGGGAGGAAGGGGTGGGTGCCAGCCCTGCCTTTGCTCTGGCACTGGTGCTGGGGGTGTCCCTGGCACATTTCTCCTGCCTCTAGCCCCAGAAGGATGTGATCCCTGAAAGCCCCCATCTCCCCATTGCCCCTCAAATGGAGCAGAGCCGGGGTGCTGCCAGCAGCGAGCAGCCTCCTCCCTGCTCAATGGCTCCTTTCTAGCCCGGCTGTGGCAACAAAGGGCCCTTTGTGGGCGTGAGGGTCCCCGGGGGCAGAGCGCTGGCGTTCTCCTGCTGGGACCCTGCCAGCCCCCCACCCAGCCATGGTGTGCCCCTGCCCCCCACCCGCATGGGGGAGAGGGTGGGCTGGCTCGAGAGTGAGGAATTGCAGGAAAATAGGGTCTGGGGAGGGGGTTGAACGAGCAGAGTGGTGATGGGAGCACGCCTGGGCACGCAGTGCTGGCGATGGGGAGCTCTGCTCCAGGGCCAGGAGCCCTCCCAGCATGGGGTGGGCCGGATTTAGCCCCCCCAGTTCATCTCCACGAAAGGCAGGGAGATGTGGCTCCAGGGTGGGGGACATGCAGGCATAGATGCACATTTCCATCAGGAGATGCCAAGTGGCCTGTTGACACTTGGGGGATACCACAAAGCCACAGGAAATCCACAGGGAAGGGGGGGGGGTTATTCAGGAAATTCGTGTTTCACTCCCACTCGTGACCCCCTTGGGGGGCTGCACCCCCAGCAGAGGAGCTGCCAATGCCATAGCTCCAGGCTGTTGCTTTTAGACAAAAACCTGTTTGGGTTTCTGAAGGGGTGCAGTGTAAGCCCAGCCCAAGGGCAGGGATGGGGCAGGATGAGTCTGGGAGCACGTGTGTGGGGTGGAGGGTGCCAGAGCCCCACAGGGAGCCCAGACCCGACCTGTGCCAGCAGCACTGGGTGCAGCATCCCAATCCAGACTACTGGGACACGAGGACCTGAAATCCTGCCCTGCTGTCCTGAGGGACTGGGGGCTCTGTGTGATCCTGCCAGTGCTCCTGTGCAGGGAGCTGAGCTTGGTTTTTTTCAGACATAACCATGGGTTTTTTAAAAAGGGAGTTGGAGGATGGCAAGGATGCTCCTCTCCATGGAGTGCATCCCACAGAGTCTCACTAGCATCCCAGGATGGCTCATAGGAGACCTTCTGTGTGAGTTGAGTGTAGGGGGAAAGTTTTCTATGTGCCATAAATGCCCCAACACTGGATCTACAGCCCCCTGTGGTGTGGGGCTCGACACAGCTACAGCAAACTCTGCTCCTTTAGATGGAGAAGCTCACATCTCTGGGAGCTGTAGGAAGGGATGTGTGTGCTCTGAACTCTGTGTACATCCACTTAGGCTGGAGAGTAGCGAGGGCTCCAGCACCAATCCTTCAAAACCGCAGGATTGGCAGCAGCTGGAAACCTCGGCAGCCGAGGACTTGGGGAGCCCTTTCCTGCTCCAGTGCTGGCTCACCCCATTGCCCTTCCCTGTCTCTCCAAGGACCTTGAGCCCAGGGACTCAGGATTAGGAAGCCCTGGGGAGAACACCTGCCTCAGCCCTCCCACCTCCAACCTCTGCATCCTCCCCAGGATCCCTGTAGCAAACCCGTGTTGCAGACGGAGCCGGAGGACATCCCACACCAGGAATTTTGGGGAGTGCAGTTGTACCTCCCAAAGAGCCGCCGTGTGCTCACTCCCCTCCCGCCTCCAGCTGTAATTAGCAGCTTCGTCAAGGTCATGCAGAGCTGTGCCAGCTCCAGACTGTAAATTTACCAGGAGCGTTAATTAATCCATGATTGCAGTGGGAGCGGCTGGGCCAGGCGCGGCGGGAGAGCGGGTGGACACGGCTCCCTGGCACAGCCCTGGGCTGCCACAGCAGGGGCGTGGCTGGGGGACAGCCTGTTCTCCACCACGGGGACATCTCTGTCAGATCTGCCTCCTCGCAGCCCCTGCTTCCTCCAGTTTCCCCCATCCTGCCCGGCTTTGAACCCCCAACTCTCTCCCGCTCCAGCTCAGTTCCAGCCCTTTGAAGCCTCCTCCTGCCCCAGCCGTAGCTGCATTCCTTTCTGCTGAGCTGGTGTAACCCAACCCCACACTGCTTTTGGGGAGGGGGTGGTGGGAGACCCTCCTGCTGCCAGGCCCATCCAGGAAACAGGGAAAGCCAAAACTCCATGCAACAGCGAGTGTGGAAAATGGCACAAGAGTGTTTGCGTGGGGGAAGGTGGTGGGTGTGCTGTGCTCTGTGGTGGGGAGGTCTCTGGGAAGAGGGGATGGTGTTTGGAGACTCCTGGCACTCTCTATCCTGTCTCCAGCCCATCTGATCCTTCTCTGTGGCACAAAGCATCCCCCTGGCTCTTCCCAACATGATCCCTGCAGGTCAATGAGTTCTTCCCTGAAACATGCAGTGATGGGAAGCATCACCATCCGCTCCTTCCCCTCAAACCACGTGGACAGCTCTCACAGGTTTGGGGAGTTCAGGGGGTGAGTGATGGAGGCAGCATTCCCCAGTGTGCCTTTGCTCAGCCCAGTCTCTCCATGAGCCCCAGCGGAGCCCCTCTCTCAGTTTTATGGCTCTGGATTGGAGCTGGAGCTGCCTGACGCCGGGATGCAAAATGAAAACCAAATGTTTCCACAACCGCCGGCTCAGCCCGCGGCAGCTCCGGGAGGCAGCGAGTGTGGGATGGCCACGGGAGCCAAGGGTGTGGCCAGTAGGGCTGGGGCTCGTGGCCATGCAGCACCCAATGTCCCCTGTGCTGCCCAAATACCCTGGGGAGCAAAACACCAGGGTGGCTCTGTGTCCATCAGGAGAGATCATCCAGTTCCAACCCCCTACTATGGGCAGGGACACCTTCCACTAGACCGGGTTGCTCCAAACCCCATCCAGCCTGGCTGTGAACACTTCCAGGGATAGGAGCTGCAGGAGGTGCTGGAGGATGCCTGGCAGGAGAGGGGATGCTGTGAACAGGGTGGCAACCATAGGCCAGTTTGGATGTGGGAGATAAGATTGTGGCCCCTGGGAACAAGCCTGATCCCTTTGGGAAAGGTGGGAGACTGAGATGCAAAGCAGAGGTTGCTCCTGGGCACCTGGCTGGGGATGCCGGATTGGAGATGCAGATGGGCAGTGGGGAGCCTCAGGGAGCTGTGTCTGCAGGACCTGTGGGAAGGCAACTCCACGGCTGGTGTGTGGAGGTAGATGGTCCCTCCCCAGGTGGTGTGGATGGTGGGACTTCTGCTCTGGAAAACTCCTCGTTCCACTGAAGTGCCATCCCTGGGCTCCTCTCACAGGTTACAGGTCCATGTCCCACTGGTGGTACTGGACCTATCTCCACCCATCCCAGCTGTAGGCAGGCAGGGAGCCGTGGGGCTGAGCTCCGCATCCCGGCTCCCTCCCTGAAACCCAGCATGGCAGCTCAGCCTCTTGGCTTGGCCCGGGGCTACGGCTCGTGACTCACATCCCCAAAGTGGTTTTAGGCAGAAATCCACCAAGCTGGAGAGCTCTGGAGTAGATTTGGCCCCACTAGGCCTGACTAAGCAGGTTTCCTCGGGCTCAGTGCCTATGTCGGACATGCACATGGCCTGGTGGTAGCCCCAGGACTGGCTGCATCCACCTCTGCCATGGAAATGCTGCCTCTGGCCCCTCTGGTGCAGGGATGGGTCATCCTGGCTGGGGAACAGGCTGGTGCCGATGGTTTTTGGGAGTCAGGGAAAGGCTTGGCTGCCACAGGGCTTTCCCAAGCCTCCTGTCCCTGCACACCTCACCACCCCAGCGGGCTGTGACAATTTGTGGATGAAAAATGGTGCCACAGTCCTTAAACACGCCAAGAGCTGGGATTCATGGGTGCTGCAGTGGCCTCTACTAATGGTTTGAGTAACCTGGCTGTCATCTTTGGGAAAAACTGCAGTCCTTTTCCATATGAAATATTTACACTGGTCTTTGCTTCATCATAACGGAGCTGGAGAGTCAGGAGTGGAAGCTCACGGCTGCCTCAGCTCAGCCCAGCTCTTGTTTATGGCCGTAACACCAAGCAGCCAAATGAAAACCTGGATTTGAACCCAAAATGCCAGAGGGGAGATCTGTGTGAGGGATCTGGGAGTCACTGAAGCTCAACAAGGGAGCAGGAGCCCCTCTCAGTTGGGTTTCCTGGCCCTGCACCCAGACCTGCTGGAGGTGGGTTGTCATCCCCCCGCTCCCTGGGACCCCCACCTCCATCTGTCTCTGCTCCATAGGGATGGACCTCTCGGCCAACCAGGATGAGGAGGGTGACCAGGAGACCTACCAGCTGGAGATCAACAAGGACACCAAGAAATGCGCCTTCCGGACCTACACTGGGAAGTACTGGACCCTCACCTCCAATGGGGGCATCCAGTCCACTGCCTCCACAAAGTGAGTCCCCTGTCCCCAGCAGGGCCATGCCTGGGCTTCAGGGAACCCTCTGCATCTCCCAAGGGAATCCAAGGGGGATTTTCCAGCCTGGGTGCTCGCCCCAAAACGCTTCCCAGCGAAGGCAGGGAGTGCATTCCCCAGAAAGCCAGGGATGGGCTGGGGTTTGCCTCCCACGACGCTCGGCAAGTCCCTGGGGTCACGTAATCCTTCCCGGCCGGCCGGGGCTGTCGAAATGCTTTTCCCTGCAGTTCAACCCTGACAGCCAGGCGGAAACCCCAAAAGCACATTTGGCTGCCTGCCTGCCTCCTGCCTGCGGGGCAAGGGCTTCCCAGCAGGATGGCCACCACAACATGGTTCATCCTGCAAAAACAGATCGAAGCAGGGTCTCCTGATCCAGCCGTGGCCCTTTCCAAGCCAGCGGGGTGGCACTGGCAGGGCCCCCATCCATCACATCCTGCTGAGTGCCCTCTCTGCCCCCCAGGAACGCGAGCTGCTACTTCGACATCGAGTGGTGCGACAAGCGCATCACCCTGAAAGCTGCCAACGGCAAGTACGTGACGGCAAAGAAGAACGGGCAGCTGGCAGCCTCCATGGAGACAGCGGGTAAGGCACCCCCTTGGGGACCCCACCCTGCACTGGGGCGGCAGGGGATGAAAAACGTCCCCTCCCTGAGCCAGGCCCTCCTTCCAAGTTATGCTCAGGGATGCAGGCAATAAGTTTTCTTAGTGAGAGAAGTGAGACGGGGGGACATGGGAGGGGTGAGAAGCAGGTGGGGGTTGTGCCCCTCCTCCTCACTGCTGCCTGTCAGCCACGGGGTCTGCTCTGTGCCCCCCGGCTGCTCTCACAGCCCCTCTGCCCTCGGCGCAGGTGAGACGGAGCATTTCGTGATGAAGCTGATCAACAGGCCCATCATCGTCCTGCGGGGCGAGCACGGCTTCATCGGCTGCCGGAAGGTGACCGGCACCCTCGACTCCAACCGCTCCTCCTACGACGTCTTCCAGCTGGAGTTCAACGACGGCGCCTACAACATCAAGGGTGAGTCCCCGGGGGTGGCTGTGGGCTGGGGGTGACGGGCATCGGGGTCCCCGTGGTGGCTCACAAAGCCACCTTGTCCCCTCTCCCGCAGATACCACTGGGAAGTACTGGATGGTGGGGAACGAGTCGTCCGTCACCAGCAGCAGCGACACCCCCGTGGACTTCTTTTTTGAGTTCTGCGACTATAACAAAGTTGCCATCAAAATCAATGGCAAATACCTGAAGGGGGACCACGCCGGGGTCCTCAAGGCATCGGCCGACACCATCGACGCCTCCACCCTCTGGGAATATTAATGCACTTTAGGGTACCTCCCGTTGCCAACTTCTCTTTCCCTTCCTCCGTCCTCTTTTCCTTTGGGTTCTGTTTCTCCTCTCTGTAACAGGATTTTCAGACTGGCTTCTCCTTCCCTCCTGCCGTAGAGTTGGTGCGTTATGTGGGAGGTGGATCTCCGTAAATCCCTGTAAGAACTGGAAAAGTGGTGGGGCAGCCTGCCTATAGCTTTGTAGAAGGGTCTGTCTCTATCCCCCATCCCTGTTTCCCTCCAGGTTTGCTGGGCTTGGAAACCACTGTATCCCCCTCCCAGCCCCGAGCATCACCTTAGGTAGTTGATTATCCTCTCCTTGATTGAAAAAAGGGAATAAGATCACCTCTGAGCTCACTTCTGCCATATCAGCACTGGCACTGCCTCAGTCTGTGCTGCCAGTGTCCCCTGGAGCATCCTCCCATCCTGCCCTGCTCCAACCAGGGGCACAGTGACGGTGCTGGGCTCAGCCAGCTCCTCCCGGCTCCTCTGGCAGCTTCTCTTCCCTCCTGGCTTTCAGGGCAGGTCCATCCCCAGCTGAGCCGTAAGAGGTGACCTTACATATCACAGCATCCCTGGGGATGGGGCTGGTGTGTGCTGGCACACATCCCTGCAGAAGGGCCAGCAAGCTGCCCCCTCCCCTCCCCATACACCTGGAAATGATTCTTTAGGGTGATCCCGTCTGGAAAGCCTCAGCCTTTCATCTCATAGAGCCCTGCGCTCCTCGTGTCCCTCTGCCCCTCCTCATGCTTCTGGCTCTGGAGGAGCACCCCAGACCCTGATGGTGGGTCCAGCCTGGCAGGTGCCTGCCCTGAGGCTGGTCCTGCTGCTGTGCCTGGATGGGGGGGCATGGGGGGACACAGAGCCAGCCCGTGCTGGGGTGGGGGCTTCATCCAGCCCACCTCCCACGGGGCCTCGGTCCCAGCAGGAGCCTGGCTGGCCCACGTGACCTCCCCGGGGCGGTGGCTGGAATCATAAAGTGCAGATTTTGGTTTACAGAATAGAAAAGTTCCTTAGCAAACTTTGCACAGTGATACTTGCTCAGTACCTTTGTTGTTTTTTTTCTTCCTCTCTCGTAAAATACTGGAACAGTGAAGCGAATCACTGAACACCTAATGCTGAATTAGGAAGCGCCTGCTCCCGCGGGCTCCCCCGAGGGGGCAGCTCCTGGTCCCGCCACCCCCGGGGCACCTGGGCTGGGCTCTCATGAATCACAACCCTACTGGAAAAGAAAAAAAAGAAAAAAAGACCAAAACAGTATTTTTGTTAGTCTCTATTTATATATGCTCTCCATGGCACTGTGTGACCAGCTGTTGTCTGTACTAGGTCTGCATTAGAGTTTAACGCTGTCTGTAACGGGTGATGCTGCGTGTTCTTTAGGGTGTTGAAAGGCACTTTATCCTTTGGGGCCTTCCCAGGGCTGGTATTTGCTCCCTGCAAACACACCAAGGAGCCTTTTCCTGCGTGGGCCCCCTGTGGGGGGGGAGCGCTGGTCCCAGCCCACGCCAAGGGTGCTCGCGGCATCGCTGCCGTGCCAAACCAGGGCCGGTCCCTCTGCCAGAGGCCAGGCAGGGGCTCATCAGCCTTAAAGCCATGAGGAGGGACTCCCTCCGTAGGAGCTTGGTGCTAAACTCAGCTGGGAGAGCGAGCGACTGTCCCCTGCCAGGGGGACAACTCCGGGCTGGGATCCCTTGCCGGCGCAGGGGATCCCGGCTGGGACTCTACCTCGGCTCTGCACTCACATCCAGGGGCTGCCCGTGCCCCCCTGGCACCACGTGCCCCCCTGGGCACCACGCTGCCCCTTAAAGGACCAAGTGTCTTGATGAAGCCCTGCGTGACCCTGTGACTCGACACACACTTTCGCTGGCCTTCACCCCCACCCCATGTTGCCTCCTCCCTGTCCCTGTTGCAGTTCAAACCATGTAATTCCCGCTCCGGCTTCTCCCGTGTGACACTAGGTCAACATCTCTCCTGTTTCCTCTTATCGGGTGTCGTGACTCTCTGAAAACATCTCACTCTGAAAATTTAAAGTTTTGGGTTTGTCCATTTTTTTTTTTATTATTATTATTTTTTTGTAAGTGCCATTTGTATAACTTAAAAAAAAATAGCTTCAAATGGAGAAAGATTAATTAAAAAATAAAACCTGCATTCGGATTCAAACTGGTGTGTGGTCTGTTAGGGCTGCAACAGCCTTTAAATGAGAGGCATGAGCCCATGGAGATTTGGGGTGGTGGAGCCTTTGAGGACCAAATTGCCTGACAAAGACTGGGCTGGCTCTGGTGGGAAGAGAATGGTGACCAACAGGCTCTTCTCCTGTTGGTCAGGAGAAGGTGTAAAGCCAAAGCCAGCTGGAGTCCGGGTCACCTCTGGAGATGCCCGGAGAAGCCTGAAGCCACTGAGCCCACAGGGCTTGTCTGGGAATGGGTGACACATGGATGGGTCAGGGGGAAGCACCAGCAAACCATCTCACCTGCAAAACCAGCTCTCCTGCCCTCGCAGCCAGGAGCAAAGCCATGCCCCCAGGGAGCTTTTTCTCCTCCTGACTCAGGTGTTTCACCTTCATACAATGGCCCAGCCAGGAGGGAAGAGCAATGGGATGCTGGTTTTGGGTGCATGGTTTAGTGGGGGTCAGCAATCAGCCCCCTCTGCTCAGTGATATGGAGAAGGGGAAGATGAACTAAGGAGGGAAGAAGGTGGGGAGCCCAGCCCATGTGTCCTGCCAGAGCAGCCTGGATGGCTGGGATGTGCCCACAGCCCTCCAGAGACAGCTGAAACCAGCCCTGAAACTCAACCAACTGGTGTGATGCTGGGGCCAGGCCCAGTGCTGGCTGTGCAGGGGGGGTGCAGCAAGTGCTTACAGGGGGACTGGGGCCAACTCCTGCACTGAGAGCAGCCACCCTTCACCACCACAGCCTGGCTGGGCACCTGCAGGGCACTGATGGGCTCCTGCTTGGCTTTAAAAATGTAAAGCTGGTTTGAAACAGTTTGGGAAAAGGGCAGCTGCTCAGCTCCATCCAAACACACACTGTGGGGGGAGAGCGGGAGGGCTTCGCCTGCAGAGACCGTCACCATCAGAGCGGGGTTTGAGCACTGCAAGGGCCAAAGGGAGGAAGGATGTTCATTCCTGACTATAAACAGGGAGAAATCAGGGCAGTGCAGGAAACGCTGAGCAGCTCCAATTGCCCTCACTGTGACACCCGTGTGTGCGTGGCTGTGGCACCAACTGTGACACCCGGCCTGGGGAGGAGGCAGCTTTGCCAGCTCTGGCAGTGGGTGCCTGCACAGGGAAGGGACGCTGGAGCTGCAGGAAGGACTCTCATCCTTCCCCTCTCTCCCAGCTGCCAACACACATTTCCTTTTTTCCCCTTAAGGCCGGATTCTGCATTTACCAACATTTACCAACACTCCTGCAAGAAGGGAACCCCCCCCCAGCCTTCCTCCCCATCCTGGTTTCCATTTACAGGAGAGACTGGAAACCATTTTCTATCCCATCCAGTTTTATCTTGGGAGCATGTGGAACATATTAAGCTGTTCCAGGAGGGTCAAATGGGTTTTGCCTTGCAACCTGTGGAGTTTTCACTGGCACAGGCTGGGATCTGGCCCCACGCCCTGGCATTATCCCAGCACCAGGCTAGCACAGGCAGGATGGGAAGATGATGTTTTGGCTGTTTCAAAAGCACAGAGGTGAAAGCCAGAGTGCACAAATTTATTTACAAAAATTCAAATTACAATATAATACAGGAACTTTTTACACACAGAATATTAGAACTGTTTACTACCAGAATGTAAAGAAAAATATTTTTAGGGTTTTTTTCTTTTTTTTTTTTTAAATAAACCACCTATTTATTTTCAGCTATTGTTATACAAAGTTGCAGAACATGCACATCTTTACAGGTTTTTTTTCTTTTAATACAACATTTTGCTAAGTGCAAATACTAAGTTTCTCTCTCCACCTTTAAGGCAAGTAAATGGGACACTGCAATTAGCCATAAGAAGTACCTGTTATGGGATCAGCCTGGGCACAGCAACCTCCCCAATGCCTTTTGACCTTTAAAACCTTTAAACAAGTAGTTCCAAGGACTGAGGGGCAGGAGGGAAAAGGGAATGGAGGAGTTAGAGACCAGGTCACAGCTGGATCTGGTGGTTGTGCAGTAAGTTTGGGGGCTTTTTTCTTCTTCTTTTTCTTTTTTTTTTTAATAAATCAACAGAGATTCAGAAACCACAACTCAAGGTCTCTCACGTTAGAGGGGAGGAGCAGCCATAAGCTTTGGCTGCAAATTTTTTTGGTGCCAGGGGTGTTTCCTTGGGGAGAGGAGCAGTGCAGGGAGCCCAGAGCCAGGCACGGTGCACCTGCACATCACAGACCAGGCACCGATTTGTCTTCTCTTGGACCCAAATAAGCTCTTGGTTTTGGAAGGGAACACGGGAATCGCAGTCCCCTCTTCCCCTACATCCTCCAGGTTCCTCTAGGACCATAACCAGGGCAGCAGTGACCCTGATGGATCAGTCACCAACTTCTGTCTGATGCTTCTCCATTCCTCCTTGCTCCACCTCCTCACTTCCCTCTGCCAAGGCTCAGTTCTCCATGCCCACACACCCCTGGATATGCACTAAAAGGTGGGACTGGACCACCATTTTTTGCTGGATCACCATTGTATTTCCTTCATAGTTTGGGCCATTGGTTCAGCAGCTGAGCTGGGCCCCAGCTGCTGCCCCCCCAACTCCTCTGGGGAAGGGCCAACACCTCAGGGAGCCTGGTGGGCTCACCCAAACCAGCCCTTGAGCCCAAAGAATCTCACCTATTAAAAAAACAGGATTGCCTTTCAACAAGGGAAGCACCCTCTGCTTCTTCTGACCTGTCTCTGTTTCCTTGTCCCCTGCTGCTGCTGTGACACATCCCTCCCTCCCCAAATCCAGCAGGACACTCTGCTCCTGGCTATCACAGGAATCACTCGATGAAAGGCAGCATTTAAACCTGGCTAAAACCCAGCCAAGCAGCAAGTCATAAAGCTCCTACAGCCCCCAGAAATAAATTAATTTAAAAAAAGAAAAATTCCAGCAGCAAAGGAATAGCAGTTGGTTATTAATGCCAGAGAGACCACGGCATGGACGAGCCAAGCGGAGCAGCCACAGGGTATGTTCGACCCACAGGCAACGGGAAAAATTGCTGTCTGAGCTCCAACAGGCATGGAAGTTGCCTCTGGGAGATCTTCCTGGGGACAACAGCCCCCAGATGCTGTCCCAGGCTCCTGTCCAGGAGCATCCCACCGACACCCTGTGCCCAGCACTCCCTGCACGCCCGACGGGGGCCGGGGTTGCGGAGAGCGGCACGCGGGGGGTTGGCAGGAACTGTGAGGTGGAGATAGGGAATTTTACCTGAAAAAAAAACAATTAAACCCACAAAACACCTGGATGCTCAAATACAGGGGGGAATAACAGGAGGAGAAATGCACCCAGAGGGTTCCCAGCAGGACAGAACAGGATGAAGCCCAGAACAAACCATCTGGAGAACAACAGCACAACTGGGCTGCTAAAAGCAGCCCAAGAAGAGGTTTTTTTTTTCCACTCCAACCATTTTCTTTTCTAGAAGGGGCCTGTACCAGACAGCACAGCCAAGGGCTGTGGGGGAAAGGCTTTGTGCCACCCTCCTCCCACAGCCCAGTACTGCACCCGCCGCTTCTCACAAGGAAGTTTTGCTTTTCCCTCACTTCCTAAGCCCTGCAATACACAGGTTTAACTTTTAACACGCTTTTCCAAAGCCAATTAAGCTGACACACACATTTTCAGAAGTTATTTAGTGCCATGGAAGCAGCCAGCTTCCTGAAGCATGAGGCTACAGTTGCCTTTTGGGTTGTGGGGGTTCAGCTGCAGGGGCTCCTGGCCCACCCTGTCTGCATGCACAGCTATGGGAGTCATTCCCACTTTTCCTGCTACAGCACAGAGCACTGCCTACACATCTATCCGGGTGCTTCCCAGGCAGTTTTTGTAATAAAGGGCACAGCTTCAGCTCCAGGTGGTTCCAGCTTCTGTCTGAGCACTGCAGCCAGAAGCTGGGGGAGGTCTGGGATGCCAGAGGAGAACAGCAAAGCAAAGGCAACATTTTGGAAGCACCCACTTCTGGGGGAAAAGACTGAGCCCTTCAAAGGAGGAAAGTTCAGTCCAGCCAAGGATTTGGGTGCCCAAATCTGCCACTTGCTAACACCTCCCAAACAGACCATGGCTCTGTGCTTCCCACTGAGATCTCAGCAATGGGATGTTGCAGCCCCTCACTCCACTTCCAGAGTGGAATGTTAAAAATGCAAGATTGACTTGGTTTTGAACGGTTTATTTCTGCTGGGAGGTGCCAGCAGGGTCCAGGGACACTGGAGAACATGGGAACCCCAGCCTTGTGCCTCTCTGCAGGCAGAAGGCCGAGGCAGCCACCTCCTGTTACCTTGTTTCTGAAAGTCTTACTCAGATGCCAAGTCTCTCCACCCTTCTCCCAAGACTCACATGACTGTGCAGCAGCTGCTCTGGCCAGCAGGAAGGCGGGATTTTTGGAAAGCCCCCGAGGAACGGCTGTATCCCTGTGCTCCACAAAGCCTCACTTTCCCTCCCACCAGCTCCCTGAACAGGCTTTGTCAAAACAAAACATCTGGATGCCCAACACAGGGTGGAATTCCACCCCTTGGAAATGCAGCACCAAGCCCTGTTGCAGCACAGGTTGAAATGTTGGATTGCAAAGGTTTGGATAAGCCCTGGAGAAGGTGCAGTGCAGGGACACTGAGTCCCCTGGCTGCTGGCTAAACCCAGAGGGGGCGGAGCGGGAAGAGGGTGATGTGACAGGGTGGCTTTGCCCTGCAGTGACTCTCCAGGTCAGAACCGGTGCCGGGGCTGAGGGCCAAAGTGCATAGGCAAGTTGGGCTCCAGCTGCACGTTGATCTGGGGAAAGTCAAAGTTCACCCTCATGTTGGGCAGTGGGGGCACGTAGGGAGCGGGGATGGGGCCGATGTTGAGGGGGATGTTGTTGTACATGGGCCGGACGGGAGGCAGCGGGAAGGGCGGGTGGACGAAGGGGTACGGGGGCATCCGGGGTTGGTGGAAGTTCTGAGGGACAGGCCTAGGGATTACTTCAATTCTCTGGATCTTCTCTACGGGCTTTTCCACGGGAGGGCCGATCCGCTTGAAGCTGTTCTCTGCAGAGGGAGGAGAGCAAAGAACCAGTCACCCCACAAACCCAACTCCCCAGGCTCCAAGGTCTGACATTTGCCATCGGCCTCCTCTTCCATCCCCAGCACATTCCAGAGCCTGCTGCTCCCCACAGCATCACTGCTTACCCTTCCCTTGCTCCAGGTGCCACGGAGCACAGCACGAGCTTTCCAGGCTGGCTGCTTTATCAGTGCCACCCCACAAAGGGGGAACATCCCCTTCTCCCAGGATGTGGGGCAGCCCCTGTGCTCCCCACAACACAGCACAGAGGTTTCTTCTGTAGTAGCTGAAAGAGCCCTTCAGCTACTTTGCTAAGTGGAGAGGGGACAGGTCTGTGCACTCAGTACACGTGATGCCACATGAGAGCTGGACACAAGCCTTGTGCCTGCCCACAGTCCCAGCAAAGGTCTGCAGGAAACAGCACTTTAAAGCTACATGGGTTCCTGGGAGGAACAGAGGCCAGTGAAGATACAGAGACTTGTCAGCAGCTGGGAACCCTATGCTGTCCCATTATCCTCAGTCTGATTCCAAAGCACAGCTACAGACTGGGACTTACCTCCATTCTTCTTCCTTTGCTCCTCTTCAGCCTCCTTCTGAATCTCCTGGATTATCTTCTCATCGTCTTCCTGGAAATCAGAGGAATACCCAAAGTCAGTGGGATAATTCCTGCTGCAGCAGCCTTCTGTTCTCTCAATGCTGCTTTTCTTTTTGGCACAGGGAAAACAGAAAAGGGTGAATTTGGCTGAATTGCCCTCGTTTGGGGCTGGCCCAGGTCTAGCCAAAAGCAAGGCTGTGATGGGGGAACTGCAGCACAAATAACCTGCACTCCATGGAGTATGACCAAGAGGCTTGGATCAGCTTTCCAAGGAGATCAGCACTAAAATTCATTGACTTGATGGAAACCAGAGAACTGCAACCCAGTTCCACCCCTCTGAAGAGCTGTTAATCTTTTAAATGGCAATAGTCTATTAAATATTTACATTATACTAGCACTTGTAGAGTTTTTGGCCCAACAGCTGGAATTAACACAACTTAAATCCTGGCTCTAGTAGCTAAATGGTGCCATTTAGATCTTATCTGTAACTCTTAGAAGGGCATAAATCGCAATATGTTTCTTTAATGTCTGTCTAGAGGTTATAGCAGGAATATTCAGAGCTGCTGCTGAGAACACAAGGACAAGCCAGAAATTGAAATTGTCCTTCTGCGTCTCATCAGCCTCTGTTCTCTCGACGCAAAGGAGCGACGGTGAGATCAAACGGCGCGGTGAGGCCTCGGATGAGATTCTGCACTGCACCACAGAAAGAACAGCTCTCAGGGTCACAGAGCCCACAGCTCCGAGGACAGAACTCCCTCCCAGTGCCAGGCACTGCCATATGTGCAGTGATGGCAGCGAGGTCCTGCCGGTCCCTGCAGGGCTGAACTGCTGCTGCTCCATGTCCCTCAGGGTGAAACCCTACCTGGCGCTTTCAGAGAGAGCAGCCAAACCTCCTGGAACGTGTCTGACCCTTGGTGCTGGTTATTAGGGAAGGAAGGCCAAGAACAGGAGCTGTGGGGTGACACATAACATCAGGCACTCTGCGCTCCTGCACCCAAAGGAGCGTTTGGTTTGCTCCAGCAGCTCTCCTGCAAGGGGAGCAGGAGGGTACCCAAGTACCCCAAAAGGCACAAGACTCTGCTCTGTTTGATTCATCCTAATTTCAGTACTGCCAAAGCACATAAATTTCTTCCTGAACGCTCTTAACATGGAAAATATCCTGTATTTGAAGAGTGCTCTGGAACTAAATTCAAAATATGCTTCATGTGTGCAGCTACGTTGATACTATTTTAAGCTTCCCAGTTCTCATCTCACAGTCCTGCACATGTCCAGCAGCAGTGCCTGGGAAGCTTGGGGAAAAGTCCCCTCCTCCACCACCAGATAAGGTTTCCCTGGGAGACTGCAGTTATCTTAATGTGCAGAAAGCAAAAAACTCAATACTTCCCTGCCTTTTATTATCCTGTGAGTCAATGGTTAAAATTAAGACTTTCCAGGACATTCCTTTTTCTTCTCCAAGCAGGCTGCTTCCATGGACTGTTAATTACAGCCTATCTATCTCCATAAAAACTGCTGAAGAATGGCTCTTCTGAGCCTATAGGGAATGTCTAACTACCCCCCTTGTATCAGATTGTGATGTTCCCTGGCTGGAAAACCACCTGGGCATGTTCCACAGGCAACCAAACATCCCCTGCTCCTTTGCTGCCCCAGAAGTGCTCTCAAAGTGTAGCCCCAAAGCTTTAAGACTTCATATTTTTTAATTCTCAGACTATCTTTTTGCAATGCTGTTGAAAATGGAGAAAATCACCACTCATATTTTATTGCTACTTACTGAAAAAGATGTACTTGAAGGTGGTGGTTTGTTTTTTTTTTAGTTATAAGACAGGAAATATATTTTAAGCTCAGCTGAGCAAGATCACCCTATCTCCTTTCCTCACACAAAGGTACAAACCTCACCTTAAAGCCTAAAAACGTGCAGAAGTGTCTTTTAACTTCAAAATAAAAACCTTTTACTTTAGTCTATGTCTGTGATTATGGAAGAAATTCTTTCCCATGAGGGTGGTGAGGCCCTGGCACAGGTTGCCCAGAGAAGCTGTGGCTGCCCCATCCCTGAAGTGTTCAAGGCCAGGTTGGATGGCACTTGGAGCAACCTGGGATAGTGGAAGGTGTCCCTGCCCATGCCACAGGGGTGGAGATGATTTTTAAGGTCCCTTGCAACAAAAATCTATGATTAACCCTCTGAAATGGTGCTTTCCAGGGACACCACCCCCCGTGATGCTGCAGTTCCAGTCAGCCCTGCACAAACCTGGAGGATCAGACACACCAAGAGCACAACTCTGCACATCCTCCTGCAGCAAAGGGTGCTCGACCCTCCCAGTTTAAACTGCAGCTGACCTTCCTAATGGGGCTGGACACATCCATCTGCCCCAGAGCCGGGAGCCACCTGCACCCTCACCAGGGTGACGCTGCTTCAATTACTGTGGCTCCCAGAGCGCCACGGGAAACACGGGACAGCAAACCCCATCTGCCAGGCCTCCAAAACCACTCCTAACTCCCAAGGACAACATAAAACACACCCCCACAAATGCAGCAGCCAGAGGTCCCCACTTAACCCCTCCTGGGTTTCAGCTCACAGCACACCCCAGGTGCAAAAAACCTGCCAGGAACAGACCTGGATCAGGATGATGACTAATTCTGCAAATTGCAGCAGAGGCACAACAAACCACGTGCCCAAGAACAGAACTTATCAGCTCTGTTGCTTCTCTGCTGATAAAAGTGTATTTTCCCATTGGAAGGTTAAGAAGTGCTTACGCTTAATCCCACATACCAAGCCTTGGCCTGGAATTTTTTTTTTTTTTGCATCAGTATTTCTGAAAAACTGGTATCCATTAATATCAAAAGAACAAAAATACACTGCACAAGACGCACCTTCCTACTTAAGAGGTTGACATGAAATTTGGCAAGTGATGAATACACAGCACAGTTCAATAACTGCAGTATTCAGGAAAGATCCACATCCCCGATGGAACAAAAGAATTGATGATATGTAAACAGCAAGATAATTTTAGGGTGTTCCTGAAAGAAAGCTGATGCTACAAATTCTGCTTAATACATCTTGTGCAGGTTAGAATTTTAAAAAAAAAAGTCCCAGTGCTATTTTAGTGAATTTTGCAAAACACCTCTAATTCTTTGGAAGCAAAGCTTGTTTTTTGATTCCACAGTAATTAGAGAGAGATGACAGATTCATCGAAGGGTGAGGCACCCACACCAAAAATTAAGATTTCATTAGCACACTTATGACTGGATTTGTGGTGAGAAACCATTTAAACATCACATGAGGTGGAGGCTGCAGAACGATTTCAAAAGCTCCTTGTGTCCATTTTCCTGAGCAGGTTCATGCCCCTTAATAAAGGATTAGATTATATTTTAATAGCCTGTTCACAGGCTGTGTGGACTGAGGGGATTTATCTTGTCAAGCTACCAGTCATCTTCCTGTCAGCTGCTTTGCCTACAGCAAGAAAAAAAAAAAGGGAAAGAAAGAAGAGAAAGAAAAAAGCAACCCCCCAGACCCTGAGGGAGTCTCAGCACTGGCCAGGCCATGTGTTTTTGGAGCAAGGATGTAACTTGGCTCTTCTGTGAGAGCAGAAATGCAGGCACTGCTCAGCACAGCCCTTCCCCACACTCCACTGCATCATGGGAGAAGGGAGGTGGCCAAGAGGAAAATGCAAAGGATCTTTGAGATGTATTCACCCTCTTTATCTGCAAACACTGCAGAAAACAAAAGTGCTTATTTTACAGCAGCTGCGTTTTCAAGAGGCAAAACAGGACTGAGCTTTGCCCCAGACCCGCCTGCAGGATGTTCCGTGCAGGAGCCATCCCCAGTCCCAGAGCCAAAAAAAATAAACACTCATCCCTGGTCAGTGTGGGAGCCTGCCCTTGGATCCCCCACCTGGGAAAGGATCTCGGCGTGGAGGAGGCTTCTCCTTTCAGTCCTCTCCCATTGAATCCAGGGAATGCGGGAGCACCGAGCCAATCACAGCAGAACGGATGGCTCCGTCTGTGGATGGATTAGCTGAGGAGCCGGGCTGGGTTGCTAAGAGAGACACCTTTTCATGGCAGGGAGGCCTGTTACAACAATGCTGGTGCAGGGGAGCCTCATCCAGCACCCACACAGGGTCTTGCCACATGCAGAAAGAGCCCAAGGAGAAACAAGCTGCCCTTGGGAATGAGAAAATACAGCAGCAAAGGAGATAAAAGCTCGGCAAGTCACACAGAGACAACCTCCCCCCAAATAAAACCTCCTCTGCCCAGAACAAAAGTGCCAGCCAGGGAGCTTTTGAAAGCTCTGTTTTTATCTCCTGTGCTTCTCGTTATCTTTAATTATTAAGTGTCACAGGAAAGCGGCTGCCGCCTCCTGAAAGGAGGGAAAACAAGAGACCTGGTGACTATTTCTGGGCTGTGCAACCCCTCCCCTACTTTAGAAAGTGCTCCACCACGGCTGCCTCCCCCTTTCTGCCCCCTTTTACTGCTTTCTTTTTCCACGTACGTGTGGCCGCAGCCGTTACTAATAAACTTGAAATGATTTTTCGCGACAGAGGCTTCCAAAGGACTCAGGGGTTTTGTTTCAAATCATTCCCAGATCAGCTGCGGAGAGCCTGAGCAAGAACAGGCATCGGCTGTCTCCGGCGTGTTCCTCCATGCAGCAGGAAGCAGGGATAAAAGCAGGCTGTGTTGTAACTGGAACAGGGCATCCGCAGTGCTGCAGGAAAAGGGGGGCCGGGATGGGGACGAAGCACACGCTGGCGTTTAAGAAATGCAGAGTTATTTTAGCAACAGGCATTCCACATCGATGGCTTTCTGCGAATTCCCTGGATTAACCATATGCTTGTGATTGAGGCATTTTATAGCAGTTAAAAAAAAAAAAAATCCACCACAAACCCCACATCCTAAATTTAAGGGAGCTTCCCCCCCTTCCAAATCCTGAAGGCAGCGTTGTGCACTTCATGCATTTCCTTAATGCATTTGAAGTTTTGCACAGTGTTCGCTCAGCATCATCTTTTTATAACACCAGAAGGAGGGATAATTGCAAACACCTCATGATGATTAGTCTTCTGCTTTGAACTTTAGGGCCTTTGGGAGGGTTTGAAGAGTTTACTGAAAACATCTTAAACTTTGAAGCCAAAAAAAAGCCGCTGTGCAACATTACTGATAGCCCAGAGATGAGTATTAAATTCAAAATGATACATTTGAGAGCAGAACCTGGTTTACCAAAACAGCCAGAATGCATTAATCAAATTGCATCACGGGATTTGTAAAAGCTGGATAAAATGCACACACCAAGCTCAGGTTAGCCACAGATATTTAGAAATCAGGGCAAACACAGCCCCCGTGTCCCAGAGCCAAATTATAGAGTCATAGACTATCCTGAGCTGGAAGGGACCCATAAGGACCATCCAGTCCAACTCCTGGCCCTGCCCAGGTCAACCCAACAATCCCACCCTGTCCCTGAGAGCATTGTCCAAATGCTCCTTGAGCTCTGGCAGCCTTGGGGCTGCAACCACTGCCCTGGGGAGCCTGGTCAGTGCCCAGCCACCCTCTGGGGGAAGAACCTTTTCCTCACATCCAACCTAACCCTCCTGACACAGGTTCATGCTGTTCCCTTGGGTCACCAGGGAGCAGAGATCGGAGCTGCCCCTCTGCTGCCCCTCATGAAGAAGCTGCAGACCCTGATGAGGTCTAACCTCAGCCTCCTCTTCTCCAACTGAACAGACCGAGTGACCTCACCTGCTCCTTGTATGGCCCCTCTAGACCTTTCCCCATCTTCATAGCTCTCCTTTGGGTGCTTTCTAATAGCTTTATTCCCACTGCTCCTTCCCGAGCTTTGTCTCTGGCAATATTGCATCAGCCCCTCCCAGCAAGCTGAGCCAGAGCCCACATGGGTTGCAGGACAGGCACACGAGGAGTTCTGGCCAAGCAGCTTCCTGGGAAGAGCTCCTGGAACATGTTCACCTCCTACAGGGGCACCAATTAGCTCCAGAAGAAATGCAGGGATTAAACAATTCCTGCTGCCCACAGCCCGACTGCAGCTTGTCCCAGAGCCAGCAAATATTGCAGCGATACTCTTCAATCAGACTCCAGCCTGATTACAGTGTAGGGACAAGATTTTAACTAACCTTTAATTATGGGAAATGTTGAAGCCTCTGCTTTACTCTCTCAAGATCACTTGAGACAAAGACTAACAGATGCTGCTGTTCCTAGAGGACTGTCTTTAATTTGTTTTTAACCCAAGCTAATGAATAGGTTTTACTTATACTTTCACAAGAATCATTTCAGGCTTGGAAAACATTAAACATTTGGAAAAGAACAAGGGTTCCCCATTTTAAAGAAACCTGAATTTTGCTGTAAATAATAGAGAGCGAAATCCAAACCAGATCCTTCACAGGTGGATCCTTGGGTGGACATCATCCCTGACAATGGACAGGACACCGCTGATGTAATGGTCTTTTGCTCTTTCAAATCCTCCAATTCCTTTCCCCTCTTCACACCTACCAGGATAACTCCTGTTTTCATGTCCCATATGAGAGCACAGATCACCCAGGAAGGGCTGGGATTGAGTCACCAAGCCCCTTATGAAGGAGGAAAACACACACAGGTACCCACCATCATTTCAGCTTCAAGCCAGCATTTGAGTTTCACGTTACTCTTTGCACTGCAGCAAGGACAGTCACCCAACTTCACCTCCCCAGCCCACCAGCGCTTTGTCATCCAAAGAATAATAAAAAAATACAAGGGCAGGCAGTGCCAGCTCTGTGCTGACAGCGGGAAATTTTTCTTTGCCACAACATCAGTTAATTAGAGAGCTGGAAAGGGCCTGGTGACAGTGGCCTCTTTGTGCTGATTATTTATTTATTTATTTGAAAGTACAGTACGAGCTTTTTGAGGGGCCTCATGTTTTCTCTGGCTCTGAACAAACGCCATCACCCAGCACAATCACCAGCCTGACGGGAACAACGGATAACAGCGCTGCCCAACCCTGGATTCACATCCTGGTGGAAAATGGGGAGTAGTGGGACAGGAATCCCAGGAGCATGTAACCAGGTGTTGGAAACGCTACAGGGGTGCCTGGAAGGAGGTGTCTGTGTTGGTTTAACAGCTCACATTGACAGGATAATGCAGGGAATAAAAGCAGGCAAGCAGAGGACTAGGAAGTTTACGCTGGTTGAGACATGCTGGGAGATCCCCAAGAGCCTGCAGGTAGAAGACAGGGATTTAGAGTGGCTTTTCCTTGGCTCCTTACAGACACAGGACTGTGCACATCCCCTGCAGAGAGGGGGGCTGGGAGCAGCCTGGAAAGCTGCAGAAGCCCGAGACAAAGAAACACTGGGAAAAAGGAAGCTCAGACAAGCCCAGGGAAGGCAGATCCACATTGTTGCTCTACAGCTTTGCTGAAATCAGGAAATTCAACTCCTGCTCCTACCAACATTCCTTCTAGATTTCTGGTATTGAAGACCTTTATTTACAGAGATGCTGCAGCAAGTTTTCCCATGTCTGTCACAGCTATGAGCTGTATTAAGTTACTACAGCTTCCCTCACAGCTCTCTCCATGCTTCAGCTCTCCCTTTGCAGCTGTTCACAACAGCCCTGAGAACGGACCCAACTACAACTCCAGGCTCCCAGACAGCTTTCCAACAGGTCCATCTCTGTGATGGGACTCAGAACCAGCAGTCAGATGATCTGGGCAGCAAAACCACAATTCCCTTTCCCTCCAGATGCCAAGCCATGCCAACACCATCTCAGCTGCAAAAGTAGGAATGAGTCCCAATAATCCCAATGCCAGCTACCATGCCTGGAGCCAGCAGCTCCCCACCAGCTCTTTTCACAAGCCTCGCTCCCTCAAACAGTGTTCGGAGCACTTCCAGCCAAAGCCCTTGTCTGACAGAAGCTGTTTTCCCTAAAGCGACACGAGCTCCTTCCAAGCTGTGGTCAGATGTGACCCTGTGCTGATGCAGGACTGTGTGGTTTTTAGCTGCCCTTGGGAAGGGAAAAAAGTTGTGCTGGTTAAAACCAGCTTTTCTCCCCAGTGGAAGGCGCGTATTTCAACGTGCTGGTGCGGAACAGTGATTGAAATTGGGGTGAGAATCATTCACAAAACCCCTTTGTTACTTACTGTGGGATCTGTCCAGAGGGAGCACTTGGCACAGTCCTGGCAGGGCGCCCCGGGGGAGCGGGGGTGCTGGCAGAAGTGGTCGTAGCCGTTGATGGCAGCCCGGCAGAGGTAGCACATCTGGGCGCCGCAGCGGCACGACATGCGGTTGCAGCCCTCGGACTTAATCAGGCCGGTCCCACACTTGTGGCATTTCCTAATCCGGGCAGCTGTCATCTTCTCTTCTCTGCAGGAGGAGGGAGAAGAGTTACCAAAGGGGTGTTTGGCTCGCCAGCCTGAGGTACAACTACTGTTACACTGCCCCAGGGATGCTTTAGCCCCCTCCTCTTTCCTCCTACACCATCCCCACACTCCACTGCTGTTCCAAAGAGGTCCGGGCTCAGCTCCACTTGGAACCAGCCCACAACAACTCAAGAACAAAATAAGTGAAAAAAAAGTCAATCACTGGCTGCATGCTGCAGCCCTGATCCCGGTTTCCATGAGAGCCAAAGCACCAGGCTCTGGCTTGGGAGGAATTGGAGCGGCAAGTTCAAGGGCCAAAGGGCACGTGGATGCTTGACTTGGCTGCAGAGAAATACAGCCAGGGAGATAAAGTTCAGGAAAAGCAAACCCCTGGCTATCACCTCTTGCTAGTTTTATGTTGCTCTGGCTACAAGTTGCCACGACCATATATTCTTTTCCAAGCCTGGCTGCTATGCTCCAGATTTATTTGGTTTCTTGTTAAATTTAATCCAGGAAGTGAAAAATAGTCACATCTTTCCCCACAGAGTCTCGGCTTTCCCTCTTCTCCTAAAATTCTCCTAAGACTTTCCAGAAAATTGGAAAATTGCTGTTTTAGGTTTAAGAGATGGGTTCACTCTAAACAGAGCACAAGTGGGAATCGAGGACAAAGCACAGTCCCTGTTCCCAAGGGACACTCTGGCAGCGACACGTGCTCCAGCACAGGCTCAGCTCGCAGCAATACTATTTTGGCACAGAAATGGAAGAAAGCCTCGGTCATTTAATTAAAAGACTAAAGAATATAAATTATCATCCTAAGGGCCAATTTCCTAACCGCTGGAGATCACGTTACGCTTTAATTCACAACCTAGAAGTGAAATTTGATGACAGAAGAGCAAAGACAGTGTGTTTTCATGGAGGGAAGCACAGTTCTGTGCTGGCCTGGCAGGGGGGAAGGATCATCCTTAGCCAGGCATCTCCACCCAGCTACTTCAGCAGACCCGCAAAGTCAACATACATTTGGGAGATGGCAGGGAGGTATTTTTGAGGATCACAGCCCCACAAACTGCTCCAGCAGCACAACCAGAGGAGTAGGGAGTGGTGAGGTGGGAACTTCTCTGCCTTGCAGCCACCCAAAGCTCCCACACAGTTATACCCAGCATGACCTGCACTCGGGCATTTGGAGACGTGCTAAGAATAGAGACAAAAACCCAACTTGAGACTGACTTTCCTCCGAGCTGCAGCTGCTCTTCCCTCCTCTACTCAACAGGATGCTGTCGATGCAGATTTTTTTTTTGGAAACTTTGAGCAAGGCAGGAAGTTTGGCCTGAATTCGAGCTGTGCTTCCCTTTCCTTATGCAGGGCTTCAAAAGGAAGTTTTTATTGTATCAGACAGTAGACTCATCTATGCACAGCAACATTCTGCTAAAGGTTTTGAAACCTGTATTTTTTTCCTTATTAGGGACATGACAACTCATTCCTCCTCCCTCTCACCCCTCTTTCTTACAGGGAAAGGAGTGGCAGAGAAAAGAAGTGCTATCAAATCTGTAAAGATTTTGTTCTGAATTAGGGACTGAGGGATGAGCAAGTAACAGTCATTCAAATCCCATTCAAAACCTCAACTCAGGCCAGACACACTAAATCAGAGGAAAGGATTAGGCAATGTGGGCAAGTCCCACTTGGCTGCACCAGATGTGTAACTCCATGGATGAACCTTCCCTTATTTCCTAAAGGCAGAGGATTTTGTCATTTACTGTAGCAACAAGAGAAATTAAACTGCAAAAGAATTCACGAAAACACTCGGAACTGACACCTGCCCATTTCAAAATGTGACTCCCTTCTGTAACAATTCCTACAAACTGGTTAGAAACCAGGACAAGCTTCTGTAAGAAAATACATCCTCTCCCACAAAGCAGCAGCTGAGCAAACAGTGCAGGTCTCCACTCCAGATTTTCAAAGAGTAATAAGGACTTACTGTGACTCAATCCACTTCTTTGCCTCTGTGCAACACCTCCCTTCTCCCCCCAGCAATGCTAATGGGGGTTTCTCACCTCCAAGCAGGACCAGGTGCCAGCCTGGAGACACCGGGGCAGCCAGAGGAGCAGGCTGGGCTGGTGACAACTTTCCCACATTCTCGAATTACCAGCTGGATCTGCTGCCAAGTATCTTTCACAGACAGAAATCCCATCCTGGGAGCCGTCTGACCCCTCAGCTCTGACATCCCCAGGACCTCTCTGGTGGAAGGCAGTGACAGCCAGCAGAAATGGAGGGTCACAAGGGCAGTGGGGGGGTCTCACCCCCTCCACACCATTGCCCAGTGTACTCTGATTACCAGTTCATCCACATCCCCGTTTTTCCCCGGTTGTGGAGTTCACTTACATGGATGTCCTGTATTTGATGTCATCCTTCTCAGCCAGCTGCTCACAGGTGAGGTTCATGTGCTCCTTCCACAGCCCCTGGCACTTCCGGCACGTTTCCTGAGGAGGATAACAAACATTAAGGGAAGAAAAGACCCAGCACACCACTAACAGCACCAGGAACTGGAAGAATTCCCATCTCTTCACCCACCAAGCTGCAGGTTCTCAGTTGAGGATGGGGCTGGCAGTATGGTACAGAGGTCTGCAGGTCTGTCCTCTGCTGAAGACCAAAGTCCATAAATAACTGGAGCCAAGGGACAAGGCACAAGAACATGGATACAAAATTAATCCATAAATCCTAGTTCACCTAAAACTCCTGGGATAGCTACCAGGTTCACTGGTTATATCCCACAGGAGACTGCAGAGGTGAAAATGTGGTGCCTAAAGTACATCAAGTTCATCTGTTTCCTGACCAAGAACTTCCTTCACATAAAGGGCTTTTAGTTCTGTAGGCGATGGAAACCTTGCAGCTGCACCAAAAACTGTGCTTCACCAGGCATAAAAGCAAATATATACATATATATAAAATGTTTTGTAAAACCTCACAAAATAAAGTTAAAGTAGTTTACATGATTAAACAGCTTAAAAAGGCAGAACACGGAAAAACACCCATAAAACAGAGGTGAAATATGAACAAATATTTACAAATTTAACCAGAATAGCTGAACTATACAAGTGACTGAGCTCTCTTGTTCTTGCAAACTCTTAAGCAACAAGGCTCTAATCCAGGACTGGTAAAGCTGCATGGAGCAGGATTGCTGTGGAGGCACAACTGGCATGGGAGCTTGGACCAACACTGGGGACAGAGCTGATTTTTTGGCTGGTTAGCCAAAGAAAACATAATTTTGTTTTGGGCCAAACAAGAGATTTTTCCTTTAATTTGAGGAGGATTAAAAAACATCCAGATCAAACTTGAAAAAAATACATGTTTCACAATCCAACTGTTTCATCTCCAGGATGGCTGGGGCTCAGGCTCTCAGATCCAACTTTCCCCCTGGCAGGAAAACCCATATGGCTGTGCAGCATCCTCTTCCCCTGCACACCAAAGAAGGTCCTAAAAGAGCTTTGCCCAGCCCTGGTCTCACTATCAGCAAAAGACAATGACTGCAGAGACAGATCTTATTTGATTGCATTGCCTTAATTTTATTTTAATGAAGAAATTGGACGTTTACATGAGACACGATAGAAGAAACTGCTTCAAGACACACGTAGGCAGCAACACTCTTTTGATCGCGAATCAGACAAACAGGATGAAGGCCAAAGCTTCCAAGGAAGCCACCCCAGGAGGGGGGAGTGTGAAATGTGGACTTGTTTGTATCTGTGCTCGCTGGGAGATGCCCAACAGCTCATGCTTTCATCTGGAGAATGAAAGGCTCCTCGTCCTGGCTGCTGAGCCGGACATGTTTGCAGACTGCGGGGTAAGGGCTGGAGCAAGAGCAGAGCCAAGTGTATGACTGGGTGTCCCAAAAGCTCAGCAGAGGATTTTGTGATCACTCACCTTGCAAATGCACCCCTTGGCAGGCAGGCCCTGGTTTTAAGGGGCAGTAAATACCTTGGTTCTACTGATCCTCATGAATCATTCATCACACCCTGTATTTTCTTGCTAAAGCTGTTAAAACAGGCACCATTTTGTGTGCATTTTTGGCAGCCCACATCTGCATTGGAGGATCAGACTTGGAGCTGCTCACATACCTCAATGAGGACCCACCTTCCCCCTTTATTCCCAACACCTGGCCACATGCCATTCCAAGATCAAAAGTGCCTTATGGTGTTTTTTTACGTACACCAAGGGTTAAAAACAGCCTTTGGAGCCGTGTTACACAGAACTGCTTTCACACGCCAGCAACAGAGATTTAACAGCTTTTTGCCAGGAGGGTTGGCACACTTTCCAGCCAGGAGCCTGCTATTCCCAATTACTTAACTCCAGGAGCCTCCTCTGCTGCCGAATTAGAAACTATGCCCTTCTGAAGCAGATGGTGCTGCTTAGACCTTCGTCCCAAGTCATTCCCCTTGACTCTTCTTACTGCCTCCAGCCTGGCAGCTACTGGAAAGAACGTTCTCCCTGGAGCCCAGGCTGCTGTTGTTTGCCAAACAGTTGTCTCCTGCACTCAGGAAAAGGCATTTCTGTGCACAGCCATGTAGATTCCTGGGATGGCACGACAGGAGGTATCCGGTTCTCCCTGTGACTGCAGCACAGCGGGTCCATCACAGCTGTGCACATTTCTGGGATCCCTCCCAAGCCGTGTTGTCCTTGAGGAGCTGCAAACCCACAGGCAGCTCTGCCTGTGCCAGTGCACCCCGTGCAGGGGATGTTCCTGTGGCTTCCAGACTCCCGAGTGTCACCTGGTGCTGCCTCTGACAGAGCCATGTCCTCTCCAGAACACAGGCAGGGCAATATGGACCATTCACGTGTCATTAGCAGAACCTGATGCAACTTTTCCCTTTACCCAAGACAATGGCACATTGTTGGTTCAGACAACGGCAACTGCTCCAGTGCCAGAACTGAGGCCACAGCCCTCACCAAGAAAAGTGACTTTGATTAATTTTTACTGAGTCAAATCCAACCCACTTGACAGATGAGGGTTTTGCACATCTCACACGACGACAATTCCGAACTCTACAATTTCCACAATGGGTGCTTGTATTTTAGAATCGTTTTTTTGTTTGATAATGGAACATACTCTGCCATTACCATATTAATTAACCTAAACACACAGTAGAATAGCTGATTTTTTGCAACCAGTCTAGATTATTTCCATGGGAAGAGCAGCACTTGGCACTAAGACTGGCTACAGCAATATCAGGCACCACCTAAACCCACACAAAGAGGGAACAAGTTCTTTCCCAGCCCTGAAATCTACTCCAAGTGTAGCAGACAAAAAGCAGGTCAGTGCACCAAAATAAAGATCCTTCCCAACTTTTCTGGCACTCAGACCCTTTTCTGGCACCCTGCTGTATTCATGTAGGGGTACCTGAGTTTTAGTTTTAACAGCACTTCAGCTAAATGCATCGTTTCTGGATGGTGAAAATTCCATGTGTTCTCCTGCCTTCCCCCATCCCACTCCTCACAGGCAGGTACAGCCAACCCAGCTCCCAGCTTCCCCACGAAGGAACTTTGCAGAAGCCTTGGCATTGGGAAACAGCTCCAAACCAGGCACGGATACGGGAGATTAAGTATTTGCTGCCTGTTACGTCTGCCCGAGCTTGGCAGGCAGCCTGGGACAGCCCATTAATGCGCCAGCCCGAGGAGGGGAGGATGTGATGGAGAGGGTGTTTAATCGCACCCTGTAATCTCCTCACTGTACATCTGTTGGGGGTAGTGGCTCTGCTTCCTCCCCCCTCAGCAGCCAGGAAGCAGCCAGGATTAACACAAACATGTTTGGGTTCAGGAGGATCCTTTGTTCCCAGGGTCAGCGGTGTTTCTGTGCTCAGGGCCAGCCTGGCTAAGGGTGGCCACTTGGCTTTTAGCACCACAACCCTTAAACGCCCTTGTCAGCTGTCCCAGCACCTAAAAGTGGTAGCAAGGAAGTGTTTTATGCAAACCTACCACCTTCCTTCCTCAGCACTTCCAATGGATGCTCCAGTTTTAAGCACAGCCTAAACTTTTTTCTTCCAGTCTATCATCAACTAAAAATGAACCTCTCCAAGGTCCAGCCCACATACCAGGGGGCAAAAAAAACCCCCAAACTCCAAGGAATCAACTTCTCCCTGCCAGTCTCCCTGCCAGTCTCCACACCCTCTTGGCCACAGTCAGGCTGTTGTATGCACTGCTGGCAACGTAGATGCAGCAGCTTTTCCTGATTGCAACCCAAACAAATGCCACATGGACAGAAACATCAGATGATACGCACGGATCCCAGCCCGACTGCCCACGGCATTCCCGCCTGTGCCGTAGGAGTTTACACGAAGCCATTTACTGACTGAGCAAAACGCAAAGGGGGTGGGGGAAGCTCAACTTAAACAACAACAGGCGATGGACCCGGCTGTCGGCACCGCCCTCCGCTCCCAGTGGTGGCTCTGAGCCGGGTCCAGCCCTTCCCTCAGCCTTCCATATGTTGGTTAATTAAATCCTTGTGCTGCCGCGATTCCCTGCATCCCCCAGGAAGGGCGAGGTGCACACTCCAGTGGTCTCTGCCGGTTGCACACATGGGGATGTTTGCTGGGAGGGAGGTAAAACGCCCTGTGAAATGTTAGGACGGAGCCCCAGTGATTGATTCGCTGCTTCCTCCTGCTCTCGGACACACAATAGCACAGGCCAACCTCAAACAGGCCCAGTTTTACCCAAAAGCAGATGTGAATGCAAGTGTCTCAGAACAGCACCTCAGGGCCACTCTGTACTGCGCTCGTTTAATTAAAGAGCTGTGATTCCCAACCAGATGAGTTAATGGGAAAACAAAGAGCCACACAGCCTTCCTCCCCACAAGGTCTTGCTGCCCACAAAGCTACACAGACCTTAACTAAAAATGGATGCAAAAGTAGCTAAATGAATACAACCTTTAAGCATGGATAAGCTCTCATGAACACACTCCTTCAGGGCTGTTTCTGGGATTTCCTACATGTTAAGCTGGGATAAAGAGACTGTAATCCAGCCCAAGACAATCCGTTTGGGTGAGAGACCCTTCTTTAGGGGTGTACAAACACCCAGCATGGGGAGGTGGGACCCCAGTGCAGAGAGAGCTCCTTCCAGCACCAACTCCTGTGGGAATATTCCGATCCCAGAGCTGCCGGCAGGTACCAACCCCAAACACACAAAATCCAGGCAGGGCGGGGAAATGAACGCTGTGCCTTGGATGGGTGATGGGGTGAGGAGCAAGGGGCTGGGAGGGTGTCTGTGGTGCCAGTGGGTGTGTTTGCTGCTCCCCCGGGAGCTCGGCTGTTCCCCGGGCAGCGCTGCCGCTCAGCGGCGGCCGCTCACACCACAGGGACAGGCAGGAGGAAGAGGAGGAGGAGGCAGCAGCCAAGAGAAACCCGGGAAAAACTGAGGTTTCCTCTCCTGAGCACGGTTTGTTCTGCGAGGGGAGAGGTTGCCGGGAGAAATAAAGCAGAGGCACAAGCTCGGA